TTTTTGTAACCAATGCAACAATGATGGCTTTATAAAAAGAGGTGGTCATGCTTTCCTTCTTCATAAATTCCCTGGGAGAGTTTAACTATTTGAAGAATTATATGTTACTTGAAAGTCACTTGAAGGCTCTATAAGAAAATGCCAGTTGAACCATCAAAGTCTGATAGTTGAGTTATTGGCTTTTTTTTTTTTCTTTTTGAGAAGAGAAGTAGGATGGCAGGAAGTGGTGTGCAGGAATCTTTTTGAGTATTTCAAACTTTCATAGCTATTGATCTTTTAGTTTTCCTTCTCTTTGTATGGGAGTTTTGTACAGCCATATATTCCTAGGAAATCATGCTCTGCATCCTAGCTTTCAAATATATTAATGTAGGCCCAAATAAAACAAACAAAAAGCAAAAAAAAAAAAAAACAAAACAAAAAACAAATATATTAATGTAAAGTTTTACCAAGATACTTTTTAATGATATGGTTATTCTTTTTGAATTCCTGTGTGTATATGTGTTCATTTCCTTCTGACTTGGTAAAGTTTGCTATGATTTATCTATATTATTAATTTTTTAAAATTAGATTTATCAGTTTCCCCTTTTTTCTTTAACTCATTAATTTCCCCTTTTATATTTATTGATTCCTTCCACTTCTCATACATTTTCTAACTTCTTTGATTAAATGTTTAATTAAGACACAAAGCAAAAAAAAAAAAAAAAAGACACAAAGCAAAACCATAGAAAACTATCCACAGTTTGGTATAACTCAGTTGAAGACACTATCCCACATTATCTCATCCGACCTCTTCCATCTTGATTTTTTTTTAAAAAAGTAAGATTTACAGTCACAGAAAATGAAACCATTTATGTTTTAGATTTTCTAACACATATAGATCATTTCATCAGGTTTTGACAATCCTACCATATTTCTGACAGTTCATTTCTCTTCCTTCTCTAGCTCCCAATCTCTCATTGTGAGAGCACTACAGAAATCCACCTAAACCAGAGTAGGAATCTAGAGGTTTCCTGTCTGTGTGGGTTGTCACATGATCTGACAACTCTTTTTCTATGACTAGTCAATCTCCTTTGAGATTTAGAAGGTTTGAGCTCTGGCTCATGGTCGAACTCAACATTTTAACCAGCTTTGTAAATTTCAGATGTATAATTTCTATTTTATATGTAACTAGGTCACACCATTATATTTTACTGATAAATTCTTAGAAGATTAGGGAAAGTTTCAACTGATAAATGTAGAAGGAATGATGTAATTAGAAAAATTATCATTTGGCAATCATAATAGTAATTAATTTGAGCAAGAATCATTAATAGATACTAATGCTTGTGAATGAAAATTTGAGGTTACTTACCTGGTCTCAAAACACTTCTCCCTAAGATACCAAACAACATAATTTCAAAGGGGAGGACCCTAGTGGACATACCTTAACCAAATGATCAAAGTAAACACTACAAGCAATGTGAGAAACCGATATCAAGCATTCCTGAACACGGCACATTGAGAACACAACATCACTTTTGTGGTATTATCACTTTTTGTGGTTTTTCTGAAAAATCAGAAAAACTTAAATTGAAGAACATCCTATAAAAATAATTAGCCTAGGGGCACCTGGGTAGCTCAGTTAAGCATCTACCTTCTGCTCAGGTCAGAATCCCAGGGTTGTGGCACTGATTTCCAAGTCAGGCTCTCTGCTCAGCAGGGAGTCTGCTTCTCCTTCTTCCTCTGTTGCTTCCCCTGCTTGTGCTTGTGTTATGCTCACTTTCTCTCAAATAAATAAATCTTTTTAAAAAATTGGCCTATACTTCTCAAAATGTCGAGAAGAAAATAATGACTGAAAAAATATTCCAAATTTAACAGACTCTAAAGAGACAAGACAACTAAATGCAACATGTAATCATGAATTTGAATCCTAAACCAGAAAAAATAATTGCTATAAAGGACATTATTGGGGCAACTGGAAAAACCTAAGTAAAGTCTGTGGATTATGTGCAATGTTAACTTCCCTGCTTTTGATAATTATATTGTGGTCATATAAGGAAATATACAAAGGGTTAAAGGACCACCTTATCTGCAAGTATCAAATGGATCCAAAAAAAAAAAAAATGAGGGATCCCTGGGTGGCGCAGCGGTTTGGCGCCTGTCTTTGGCCCGGGGCGCTATCCTGGAGACCCGGGATTGAATCCTACATCGGGCTCCCGGTGCATGGAGCCTGCTTCTCCCTCTGCCTGTATCTCTGCCTCTCTCTCTCTCTGTGTGTGACTATCATAAGTAAATAAAAAAAAAAAATGAAAACCCACATATATATAGCAAGAAAATGAAATTATTTGCATGTATAGGAAAGTATTAACTATTGCAGAATCTGGGTGAAGGGTGTAATAGGAATTTTTGTACTATTCTTGTAACTTTTCTAAGTCTGAAATTACTTACAAACAAAAACAAAACAAAAATCCCTTATGTTTGGAAAGGTAAGCAAGATGAGGAAAGCTGTGAATCAAAGAAGGAGGTTAGCTCCTTTCCCAGATAAGCCAGGTTGGATAGGAGGGACAGAGGATTCTCTTGTGCCCCAGAGTGAATCTACCAGATGTTCTTGGTTCCCTAAGAAAGATTCCTTTCAGAATATCCTACATATGCTGAGCCATTGTGTCTTAGCACTAGAGCAGGAAGCCCCTACAAAGACTCTTTCAAGCTACCGTATGCAGGTCTCTGCAGCCAAAGGTCAGTCTCCAAAAAGCTAATGAGAGATTTTGACCAGGGGGCTCTGAGATTCCCCTCCAAATATCTACAGAAAAGAGCCATCCTCAACTTGTTAACTTCCTTAACAGGACCCTTATTCCAAGTCCACGCCAAACCCATACGGTCCATTTCACTGTGCATGTTTTTGACTTCTAGAGGGACTAGCAGAAAACAGGAGATCTCAAATGGCCAAGCCAGGGCTATAGGTCAGAATTCTGTTCTAGTGCCTGGCTTTAGGAAAGTTTCAGACAAAACTTCCCCATGGTATGAATGTTTTGCTCTCAGATCATTTCTATGACCCCATTTAACTCAATTCAACACTAGACAAAATTAGTCCATTATATTAGATCTAGAGGTGGCAAAGGGTACTGATTGATGGGCAGCCCGGGTGGCTCAGCGGTTTAGCACCGCCTTCAGTCCAGGGCCTTATCCTGAGGTCCCGGGATCCAGTCCCACGTCAGGCTCCCTGCATGGAGCCTGCTTCTCCCTCTGCCTGTGTCTCTGCCCCTCTCTCTCTCTCCTCTCTGTGAATTCTCATGAATAAATAAAATCTTTTAAAAAAAAAGCGTACTGATTGATAAGAGGCTTCAGGGTGCTAGAGATGATGTATACCTTGATCTTGATCTTAGTTGTATTTACATGATTTTCCACAATGTAGAAATTCACTGAGCTGTACCCTTAAGGTAAGCATACTTGACTGTATGTATGTTATACCTCAATTTTTAAAAAAGAATATTTAATGATCTGAGAAATGTTTGTTGTACAAATAAAATGAAATAATCTGGATTCAAACTTAAACTTTTCACATACAGCCACACAGTGCCTCCCTCTTCCTACCCCCCATCCCCCCGGTACGAATGTTTCTTTTAGAGTTCAGAAACAGGCAAAATTTAAAAAAAAGAAAAAGAAAAAGAAACAGGCAAAATTTATCAGTGATGTCAGAAGCTGGGAGAATGACAGGGAAGTGACAGGGAAGGCATATCATGAAGGCTTTCAGGGTACTACAATGTCCTGTTTTCTGATCTAAATACATTACCCATGGATGTTCCCTTTGTGACAATTTCTTGAGCTGCATATTTATGTATCTCTCTGTACGTATCTTATATCTCTGTAAAAGGTTTGCTAAAAATTTTATTTTATTTTTTTTTTGTTTGCTAAAAATTTTAAAGAGAAAAATTATTTGCTCCCAAATCTGGCACTGAACACACAGTAGGTGATGAAGGGAAACAGCCACAAGAAAAGAAAATACCCTTAACTCCTAACTCCTTATCTCAAGCTCATTTCTGTATCAAAGCAACTACCTGTCTTTGATTATGTGTAGCTGAAAACAGAGACTATCTGCTCTAAAAACTAAAGCTTGATGTGTATGGCTTCTGAAAGATACTTACTTTGCCTTACCTTTCAACTTCTTTTGTTTCAGAAGATGTTATAGTTACTGTGCTTTGTCTGAGGACTACATAAGGATCAAATATAATGCCAAAATAATGCTTTGGCATTTCACCCTTTCATTAAGCTAATGGTCAAAATCTTATTTGTTTTGTTATCTTGTCTCAGCTCATCTTAATTACCATTAGTTTGACTTTAATTTCAGTGAAGAGCAGTTACTAAAAGTAGCTTTAAGTTTTGTTTTCGTGGTTTTATCTTTATTGAATTATTTTATCAGGACATTACAAAGAACAGATTCAAGAAGGTCAAACATGTCACCCCTAAAAACTATAGACAAAGCAAAAAGATTCTTAGAACACAGTAACTTCCAGATCCAGTTTCTTTTCCTTACATAATTTATTTATTTTTATTTTTTCCCCATTCTTGAGGTATGTGACATATAATATTGTGTAAGTTTAAGGTGTACAATACCATGATTTGATACACGCATATATTTCAAAATAATTACAAGACAGTTAGTTAACACTTCCATCACCTCACATAATTACTTTTTGTATGTGTGTGGTGAGAACATCTTTTTTATTTTTTTTGAGAACTTTTTTTTTTTAAGATTTTATTTATTTATTCATGAGACACACACAGAGAGAGGCAGAGATAAAGGCAGAGGGAGAAGCAGGTGCCCTGTGGGGAACCTGGTACGGGATTCTATCCCAGGACACTGGGATCACGACCTGAGCCAAAGGCAGACGCTCAACCACTGAGCCACCCAGGTGCCCTGAGAACATTATTTTTAAGTTAAGCCTAGATAAAAATATTTTCCAAACACCCTCAAAGTTTGTTCCTTTGGCCAAATCTTTTACAATATCAGTTTAGATACTTACTCAGTAAATTCTTTGTTTTCTAACCACAAGCAAAGTCACATCCATCCCAGCTGCCATGGAGTTAGAATAATTTCCAGAAACCAGACTCACTCATGGGATGTTGTCACAGATGGATACATCATTACTGTTGCCAGAAAGGGCCTTAAAGGAAACATTAAAAGAAGTATGTACTAAATCCTTGGCAAAAGCAATAGGAGCCACATTTTTAATAATACAGTACTCTAGATAAGTTGAACACTTGGTCCTTTAAAAGCACTTTCATTAGTGTGGGGAACAATAAAAAAAAAGTGAAGGAGGTTTCATAGAGTTTTAATCTGGGCTTTTGTGGAGGGACTAGACTGTTCATCAGCTGGAATGTGTCACAAGGATGAAGTGTGCTCCCATTATACAGGGTTGCAGCCTCAAATCCTTAACTCTCCCATCCCCAACCTCTAAATTTCACAATCCGTCTCAACACCCATTAAGCTTCTAATCCCAGATGTATATGGTACCCCAATCTACAACAAATGTTCTTGTAGTACTGATACCCCTGTATGACCAAACATGACCGTCAGAAACCACTAGCCAGTGACTACAAAGCTCACTGATCCGTTCAGATTGTCCAACAGTGAATTACACAGATTCCTGATCAGGAACCCATAGTGATCTCTAATGACACCCCAATGAGTGAATGAGTATCAATCGCTGACCCCCACAGACCCATCTCCCCCCACAATTACTGACAGTCTCAATCACTGACCCCCATTGATCCGTGTGTTCTCCATCCCTTGATGTACAAGTCCAACCACTAATACCGTCAGATTCCTCCCATCCATGATCTAAAAGAAGTCTCAATCACTGATGGCCTAAAGCATTTCTCTAAATATTGGTCCCCATTAACCCCTCTTGTCACTTAACCTCAAAGTTTCCACAATCATCACTTCCAGGTACCCGAAAAGAATTTAGAACTACAATCACTGACCCTCTCAGGCTTCAGAACACTCTAATGTTGTTCATTATCAGGGTTTTTGAAGCACCTCACTTAGCACCAAGTCCCCCCCCCCCCGAAGACCATTATAAACTGATCACCACTCACTCTGCCAATCAAGAAATCGAGAACCCTCATTTATTGATTTCCAAATACTCCCAATCCATCTTCACAAAAACTGCCACTGATTCCCGCAAACCCCTACCACCCACCACAGACCCCCCACGAGGCTCCCACATCCAATCACTTAACCCCTTCAGCACCCTCGTCTCTGACCCTTACGGGCACCCATGACTGACCCAGTTGGGCCACCGTAGTCGTCCGATCACTATCCTACAGAGATCTTTAATTTTGACTGTTTCTCACACTGACCTTTCCCATTTTTCCTGGATCCGCGCCCATAACCCGAAATTGATCGCCGGACTACGGCGCCTCGCCGCAGTATAATCTCTTCCCATCCCAACTGGCCAGTGCGCAGACTCAGTCACGACTTTGAGGCTGTCGGCCGCCACCTGGCAACCTTCCAACGAACAGGATTCTGGGTTTCCGAACTTTAACGGTAGGTATGATGGCTGCGCCCTCCTGACAGCTTGTTGGGAGAGGCCATGTTTAAATCGGGGCCGTACAGCGGTGAAGAGGCCCTTTGTTAGACCAGCGGGTTAAGCTACCTTAGGGCTGGGAGGAGCATGCGCTCCTGGGTCCTTAAACACTGACTTCCCCGCTACTTTTAGCTCCTCAGAAGCCCAAACCTCCTGTGACCAATCCGTAGGCGCCCTAACCTCCAAGCTGAGCTTCCTTTGTCTCCAGCAGCGCAAGCGCTGAGGTTAAGATGGCCACGTCCGTTTATACAGTTTCTTACGTACTGTGGGTGGAGCCCCCTCATAGGAGGAGCTCCCCAAAGCTAGGTGAAACTTTTCCTGGGACAGTTATAGGAGTTGGAGAGCTGGGGAGCCTGAGACCGCCAGAGAAGGGGCGAGAACCCCAGAGAGGAAGCCATGGGAGACGGCGAGTACGAAGTTATTAGCTGTTACTGAAAGAAAATGTTGAAAGCAGGGACATTTTTTTTTTAACTTTCAACTATTCGTAATAAATAATAAGAATTTTAGAACTCTATGTTGTTGCTGCTGATTTGAGAGATTCAACATGAAATTTTTAAAAAATTAAGAGAGACATAATTCCCTGTCCTGTGTTAGTGCTGGGCCAGGTGTACAGGGAGTTTATCTTAAGTAGTGTTACAAACTAGAATTCAACCGGGTAAATTTGAACATCCACTTGGCTTTATTAAATGATTGGTGAATCAGGCATCCCACCTAGCAAGCCTCCTCGAAGTTGTACAAAATGGAAGGTTTTTATAAGAAGGGGGACTGGCAAGAAGGTTATTAGCAAAAGATTGTTCCAAGGTCACCTTCTCTTCGGTGGAAGAGCAGGGGTCTTACTAGGTAGGGTAACTGACCCATATAGGTCACCAAGTTTTTTACTGAACACAAAGGGCTCCTTGCTGGAGGTGCATCAGCCAAAAGATCAGCCAAGTCTTTTGGTTTGAGCAAATGGTTCTTACTGCTTGAAGCTAGTAAGGAGATAGTCCACAAAGTTCTATTTCTAACACAAATTACAGGACCAATTCATACTGCTAGCTGGCAACCTTTTGGTTGTTTTTTTTCTTGCAATTAGGAAGTGGTCACAGGACTTTAGTAAAACCTTGGTAATCATTCAAACATGACTTAACAGAGGTTTGCTTAACTCTGCAATTTTCCAGGAACATTTGTGATTTTCTTTGGTCCCAGACATCTGCTTAGTTGAGTAATTTCGGTGGGCTTCCAGGAATAGGGCAGTTGTCAAGGACTCCTGAAGCTGAAAAGAACACATTCTGGAAGAAACAAGATAGTTTATCTGTTGTCATTTCTTACTGTGGTCCCTGATGACCTAATCTTTAACTACAAAATCTCATTTTAGGGGATGGAGGGGCCCCAAGGAACAGCTTACCTCATTGTTGATAATCAGAAAATTCCTGACTGCGTGGTTAAGACTTATATTTCTAGGGGATCCCTGGGTGGCACAGCGGTTTGGCGCCTGCCTTTGGCCCAGGGCGCGATCCTGGAGACCCAGGATTGAATCCCACATCAGGCTCCCGGTGCATGGAGCCTGCTTCTCCCTCTGCCTATGTCTTTGTCTCTCTCTCTCCCTCTCTCTGTGACTATCATAAATAAATTTAAAAATTAAAAAAAAAAGACTTATATTTCTAGGAGAGGTTGAAACTACAGTTAGAAAAAAAAAAGTACAGTTAGGTTAGGTATTATTAAGCCTTAGCTTGGTGGCTTGGATAACACCATTTTAAGCCTGTGGTTTTCTTTCTAAGAGTGGCTTGCTCCAGATGCTGACTGATGTAGGAAGGATGTTAGGGTTCGAAGCCAATGCCCAAAAAAGAATTCTTAGTATTTGGTGCACAAAGGTGATTTTATTAAAGAACAGGATCCTTGGGCAGAAAGAGCTGTACTGGGGTCATGAGGAACAGCCCCTTATATACTTTCAAGTTGGGAGGGGATTAGGGACAGTGTAAGTCTCTAAGGAATTTTGGAAGCAAGATTTCCAGGACATTGAGGGGGATGACTATTGTTAGGAAAAGGTAATTTAATTACCATCTAATAAAACCTGAGTCATGAGATCCTTCAGATGTATATCGGTGGGTCATATGCTTGGGGATGACCAACAGATATCTTGAGGGGGTAGAGATAAAAGAAGTTTCCAAAGGAATTTTTATATGTTAAAGTAGACCTACAGGGCCTGGGCTTTGGGCTAAGATTGTCTTTTGCCCTTTGCAAAGTATCAACATTGAGGCAGCTGAGTTCCTAGAGGAATGCCATTCTGCCTTGTTTCAAGGACTTGTCAATAGGCTGTAAGTAGTGAGGAAATGTAATAATTTTTCTTTTGCCTGCTTCCCACATCACTGACCTGAGACAAGGATGTGAGTGTGGGCAGTTGATTTGGCAGGTAGAGGATAGGCAAGTGACAAGAGAGGAATGGAACCCAAAACAGAGTGTATCAATGAGATTATCCCTGTGAGCAATGGAGACTCAGTCCTTTGAGGAACTCTGGAAGGTAGTGTAGATACAAATTGTCCCATTCAAGGGCTGCTGAAGCTGAGATATTTGTACATCGTCTCTTGTTCCTCATTGTTGGGTACTACAGAAAGGAACTTCAAGCACTTCTAGCCTGCCTCATGGGCAGGGTCTCAGGCAGAGTCTCTAGGAACTGTAGGCAGAGTTTCTGTTAGGCACCATTTACTCATGTTCTATACTTTGCCTCTGAGTAAGCCAAAGAAACCATGTTTCCACTTCAAGGGGAAGAAAAGAAGAAACTCATTGTCTAAGTTTTGTCCTAGGTCCCAAACACGTGATAACATCCAAAAGAGCCAGATCCCAAACATGTTCCAGGACGAAGCTTCAAACAAGCGTCAGCTCATGCTTGCATCAACACCTCCATCTCTGGTGATTTACAGAATAACACTTATTGTTCAGCTGACACTTGCCTTTGATTGGACTCTACCCTGGATTCCTGAAGGAACAGATGCCCTAAATCCCTTTCCAATATAAACCCTTAACCCCAAGTGATGATGAGACTCATTTTCCTTACCTTTCCAAGTCTCCCAGCCACTCCATTTGCTGTTCTGTGTCACTCACACTGTTCAGTAAACTCTGTTTTCACTTTCTCCAGCTCTCATTTGATTATTATCCTGCGTGAAGCTGAAGACCCTCTTAGCTGGTCCTGTGTGGCCATCCTCTGGGTTATCAGACCCAGCCTGCCTACCTCATACTGACAGCATTCATTTTATACCACCTAATGCACATCATAGGCATTGGAATGTCTCTAGGAATGGTTACCTTGTCTTATGAAAATAACTTTTTTAAAAAACATAATTTGGGATGCCTGTGTGGCTCAGTGGTTGAGCGTCTGCCTTTGGGTCAGGACATGATCCCAGAGTCCCCAGGTTGAGTCCCACATCAGGCTCCTGGCATGAAACCTGCTTCTGCTCCCTCTGCCTATGTCTCTGCCGCTCTCTCTCTCAGTGTCCCTCATGAACAAATAAATCTTTAAAAAATAAATAAAATAAATAAAAAATCATAATTCCAATTGGTCATCATACTAACTGATATAACAGCTGACCTCCAAAATGGCTACCAATGATTCCTACCTCCTGGTATTAACACCCTTGTGTAGTCCCCTTATACATTGGACCATTTTGAGGCTAATAAGATACAGTAGAAGTGATAGCACATCACTGCTAAGATTAAGTTATAAATGATACCTTGGCTTTCTCTTCATGGGGCGCTCTCACTTTGTCTCTTTCAAATAATTTACTTGGAGAAGTTAGTTGTCATGTCATGAGGACGTTGAGACAGTCTATGTAGAGGTCCACGTAGCAAGGAACTGAGATCTGCCAACAGCCAGAGACAGCCTTTCCTTATCAAAATGGGTCATCTTGGAAGAAGATCCTGCTGTCCTTGTCAAACCTTGAGATCACTGCAGCCTCTGCCAATAGATGGACTGCAGCTGCATGAGAGACTCATCAGAACCAACAGTCCAACCAACAGTTCCCAGATTCTTGACGTTCAGAAATTGTGTAAGATACTAAATGTTTGTTTTAAGCTGTTGATCTTGGGAGTAATTTGTCATCCAGGAATAGATAACACTACTGTAATTGATATCTTTGGATTTCTTTTTTTATTTTTTAATGATTTATTTATTTTAGAGAGTAAGGGAGGGGACAGGCAGAGGAAAAGGGGGAGAGAGAATCCCAGACAGGCTCCACACTGAGTGCAGAGCCCAGTGCAGGGTTCAGTTTCACAACCCTGAGATCATGACCTGAGCCTAAATCAAGTGTCAGATGCTCAACCAACTGAGCCACCCAAGCACCCCAGGTGCCTTTGGATTTCTTAAAGAAGTCTTTTTTTTATGATAGTCACAGAGAAAGAGAGAGACAGAGAGAGAGAGAGAGAGAGAGAGAGAGAGAGAGGCAGAGACACAGGCAGAGGGAGAAGCAGGCTCCATGCATCGGGAGCCCGACGTGGGATTCGATCCCGGTTCACCAGGATCGTGCCCTGGGCCAAAGGCAGGCACTAAACCGCTGCACCACCCAGGGATCCCCCCCCCTTTTTTTTATTTAAAAGAAGTCTTAATCTTGTAAGATTGTTTTTTCAAATCAGAGAGGATTATTAGCATTTTTCTCTTGTCCTGCAAGGGAGCAATTACGGCTCTGCTAGAGCCAAGAAAGTGGAAAGAAGAATCTTGGAATAAGATTGCAAAACTGGATACACTATTTAATGTCCTACAAGGCAATAAAACCATACCTTTAAGATTATCTTTTCTGCAGAGAATCAAGTTGCATCTGTAATAGATAAATATATGAAATTCATCAATTGTCTGCAAGTTAATATCTATCTGTACAGTCCAGATCCTAATCAGTAGTAAAAAGCCAATCAAATGTGCATTCCACAGAGTAGAGGGATGTTAAGCTGGTACAGATTTAATCCACAGGGGACATTTGGCAATGTCTGGAGATGAAATTAGTTGTCATAAACTGTGGGAGAGGGGTTGAGGAAAATGAGCAGAATGCTACTGGCACATGGTGTGTAAAAGCCAGGGAGGCTTCCAACCACTCTATAATACAGAGGGCAACCTTCCAAAACAAAGAATTATCTGGCCCAGAATGTGTATGGTGTTGAATTTAGAAAATCCTTCTCTAGAATGGTTTATTAGATCTTGGGTGGACATTTAGATGATGCTCCAGTATGACTTTGA